GCAGTGACGCTCCCCATCCGACTCATTGCCAAAACCCCGAGGTATCCGTTTAAGATCAGGTGTGGCCAATTAGTCGGCCTGGCCAAAACACTTAACAGGATAGAGTTTTGTTGATGCTGAAAACGGAGTGTATATGTTTTTAAATAACATTCTTAGAATGTTCTCTGAACGTTACTAAAGTTTTCTTGTGGTTTTTATGGAAAGTTTTCTTAACGTTCTCTGAACAATTTGAGAACATGACTTTAAATAGAACCATGAGGAAACCTGTAGGAAATGTTATGCTGAAGTACTGAAATTCCCACAGAAGAACGTTGTTTCTTAACGTTCTCTGAACTATTTGAGAACATTCCCAATGTCAAACCAGTTGGAGAACATTCCTAGATCATTACCAAAATTGAAATTAAATGTAACCATGTTTGAACTTTTGGGAAGCTTTCTGTTAAAGTTTTGAAATACCAAGCAAATAATGTTTTTTTGGTGAAGTTCCTTAAATGTGCTGAGAATGTTCCAAAGCCATTCATCTATCATGCAACATTCCCAGAAAGTTGTGGGAAGGTTGAATGCAAAATAACCATAGGACAACAACGCTCTAACAAAGTTTTAAGAAACATATGGTTCTCAGAACATTCTGTGCTAGCTGGGTTACAACTGTGAAATGTGATGTCATGAGACTGAAGTGACAACATGGAACAGTGTGCTTTCTTTATTGTTGTTCAACAGATTCACAAGACATATTCTGTTTATGGGCAGGCATGGGATGTCTTCCTGTTGATAGCGAGAGTTCTGCTTTTACCGTATCCTATAATCATGGGGTTATTGTAACAACACAGAAGTGTGACCTTTCATGACAATATGATCAGCATATCTCTGCATTTCTACATAATTCTCTTTTCTGATACAGTTTTTATCAACTCCTCCAGTTTAATGTTTAGGCCTGTGTGTTGGCCCATGTGTGTAAAGTTGTGCTATAGTCATCAATGATCTGCCTCACTGTAACTGTGAAAGTACATGTAGGTCTACTTATATACAGTATCATTAACTTAACTCTGCAAAATACCAGCCACCCTTATAGTGAGAGCGACCTTACTTTGTAGATCTATTGTTTGTTATATAATGTATAGTGACATACTGTTTCAAAATAATTAGTCTAGCATTGTGTCTGGATGTTGAAAATGTGAGAATGGGTTTGTTATTGCTCACTGGGGTGTTGGCTGGTTAAATCACTCACAGGATGTAGGTGTGAAAGGATGTGGTGGTGAGAAAGATGAAGCTGCATGGTTGGATGCATGTGGATATGTGCACATGCGTGTATTGATGTGCACACATGTATGTGCGTATCTCCCCATTTCAGTGTTATCCAACACGATGAGGTCTGTAGATTCCTATTTCTCTGTCTTTTTCACCACTCAAGGGCTCAGCTGTAGTTCTTTATCTATCTACCTCTGTGGGAAGAAGATAGACCTTTAGCTAGTCATGCCATCTCTGGGTGATCGCCACACACTTCAATATTTGTTTGTTAATGGATAAGACCTCCATTTTCTATTAACTTATGATATTTACAGTGCATTTACATAAGTATTCAGACCCTTTGTTATGACACTCAAAATTGATTTGGAAAGGCACACACCTGTCTATACAAGGTCCCTCAGTTGACAGTGCATGTCAGAGCAAAAACCAAGCCATGAGGTCAAAGGAATTGTCCGTAGAGCTCCGAGATAGGATTGTGTCCAGGCAAAGATCTGGGGAAGGGTACCAAAACATTTGTGCAGGATTGAAGTTCCACAAGAACACAGTGGCCTCCATGATTCTTAAATGTAAGAAGTTTGGAAGCACCAAGACTCTTCCTAGAGCTGTCCGCCCGGCCAAACTGAACAATTGTGGGAGAAGGGCCTTGGTCAGGGAGGTGACCAATAACTCAATGGTAACTCAGACAGAGCTCGAGAGTTCCTCTGTGGAGATGGGAGAACCTTCCAGAAGGACAACCATCTCTGGAGCACTCCACCAATCATGCCTTTATGGTAGAGTGGCCAGACGGAAGCCACTCCTCAGTAAAATGCACATGACAGCCAGCTTGGAGTTTGCCTAAAGGCACCTAAAGACTCTCAGACCATGAGAAACAAGATTATCTGGTCTGATGAAACCAAGATTGAACTCTTTGGCCTGAATGCCAAGCTTAACGTCTGGAGGAAACCTGCCACCATCCCTACGGTGAAGCATGGTGATGGCAGCATCACGCTGTGGGGAACCTTTTCAGCGACAGGGACTGGGAGACTAATCAGGATCAAGGGAAAGATTAACGGAGCAAAGTAGAGAGAGATCTTTGAGGAAAACCTGCTCCAGAGCGCTCAGGAGCTCAGACTGGGGCGAAGGTTCACCTTCCAACAGGACGATGACCCTAAGCACACAGCCAAGACAACGCATGAGTGACTTCGGGACAAGTCTCTAAATGTCCTGTTGGAAGGAGAGACCTGAAAATAGCTGTGCAGCGACGCTCACCATCCAACCTGACAGAGCTTGAGAGGATCTGCAGAGAAGAATGGGAGAGACTCCCCATATACAGGTGTGCCAAGCTTGTAGCGTCATACCCAAGAAGACTGTAATAGCTGCCAAAGGTGCTTCAACAAAGTACTGAGTAAAGGGTCTGAATACGTATGTAAAAGTGATATTTCTAAAAACATATTTTAGCTTTGTCATTATGGGATATTGTGTGTAGATTGATGAGAGGAAAAAAACAATTTAATCAATTTTAGAATAAGGCTGTAACGTAACAAAATGTGGAAAAAGTCAAAGGGTCTGAATACTTTCTGAATGCACTGTAACTACAATTTGGGGCAGTCTTTTACAGCATTTACATATATAATAAGAAATATGCCCAAATGTTTTAGAGTTGTAATGTTTGTCACCAGCAATCTTTTTTACAGGTCGTTATTGTAAATGAGAATGTGTCCACAATCAACTTATCTAATGAAAGAAAAGCAAATACCAAACACAAACATTACTACTAATAATATGTGCAATCTGTTTATTAGTGTTGCCTGCCTATGATGGCAAAGGAGTTGGATATGAAGCATGACGCACTTCCCTTTTTTACAGGAACGTGCACTCACAACCAGTTTCCTGACCCGCTACAGTACCAATGCATCCATCCCCCAACCATCCCTCTCTGACTCGAGTCTGTGTATTGTCAGAGGTAAGTACTGCTCTGTCTCTTTGCTTTACATTTCATACAGAGATATTTCAATTTGGACTGTTAATGTTCAAAATCGGAATTTCCAGATTGATAAAGATTCAGCCTAACATGTATAATTGTTATTTGTTGCAATATGGGATAACATTGTCTCAGACAATAGCGATAATATTCAGATATATTCTATTCTACATTGTAAGTATAGAATCAAGGCACTCGTTCAGATGGGTACCTGTGCTTTTTACTTTTGCCAAAGCTTGTGCTTTGGCTATGTAGTTTGTATAAGGTTAGAGTGCCACTTCACTTGCACGTGGAGGGAGATTCATTGTGCAAGAGCCAAGATGCACTGTTGGAATTTCGTACACTTTTGGAATTTCACATTTCGTATGGCACTGGAAATTTGTTCTATAGTATATAGAAAGCGCCAGCAGAGGAAACCCATGAGAAGTTTTGGCACGTCTATTGTGACACAAGAAGCCCCCGAAACAGTCACATTTGGTTTGCGGTTATTTTTTTTTATTTTTTTTATTTAAAAATTTTTTTAATTTATCCCCTCACTATGTGTGGGTGAAAGTGTTTTTTATTCCTCATTGTGTATGGTAGTGTTGTAGAATGTTACAAGAGGAAGTTCACTCCAGAGTCAAAAAGCATATAAATTGTCACCACAACAATTGGCAAATATCACACTCAGTGCAAATAAATATAGATTTGATAGACAATATTTTTTATACCAACATCTATAACACATTATATAGTTCATATTTGCACAGGACTAGTATTACTAGAGAATTATAATTATTACCCCAGCATATCTGTTTATAACTGCCCCATGTAATACGAGGGGATAGCCTAATATTGGCTTTCAGTTAAAAAAAAACATACAGCAGGCCAAAAACCCTTGAAATGTACAGTTTTAGTTTTTTGTCCCCATGTTGGGGAATAAGACATTTCAAAGTCTAGGTTTAAAATAGAATATGTCACCAATTACTGTTCCAAAAAGATAAAACAAAGATTCTGATCTTTTACCTAATGGTGGCACATAAACATGCACATATTCCCATAGGAACACAGACATTTTAAAAGCACAGGGCTTGTGCAATATGTTTTCGTCTTACAGGAATGATATACATATGAGGAGGAAGCTGAAGTCTCTACCTATCCATTGATGTACAGTAAATATAACCCCTGTCTGAATCCCAGTTTGTCCACGAGATAGCAGTAGGAGATCACATGACGTCTCTTGGCCACTTGAAACCAGTTGCATCTGGTTTGGTTAGTGAGTCACTGTGCCAAAATGGCTAAATTGATTTTCAAACCTGACATCTTAAAACGACCTTAGCAATCAGGGCTTTCAAGTTATGGAGTAGAACAAATTAAAATAAGACACAGACAGGTGAGGAAACTTCAAACTTATTTTCCCATTCACTTTTCCTATTGTAAACGATGAGCTAGATCAACGGCGCATGTGGAGGACGCATCCAAGGTAATGTGGATGGAGCAGTAAGATTTGAGTTGTGACATGCTATATCACATTACACGTTAGCTTGATGTATTTAGCTAGTACAGTATCACTCTCCTTTCATCTGTGGTATCATATCTAGCCTGGCTCGCTAGCATTATAAAATAATGTTGTATAACCAAAAGTAGCTACCAAACTCGCCAGACCCGGTAGCTTGTCCAAAACAACCACTGAGAGTTTAACATGTTTTAATTCATTGGCACAATAGTCTGCCAAATCTTGTTTTGAAACAGGTTCAGATCCCACGTTCAGATCCCACGTGACACTACAGACAGGACCATGCTACCTTTTTACATGAATCTAAATGTCTGTCTGATCATAGGTTGTCTGTGTGAAGTCATTGTTACCATGGCATGGAGTTCCAATAGCACCAAACTGGACAACACCACCTTGTCCCTGTTCCAGAACGTGACAGCTAGCACAGCCATCTCCATTGTCTACATTGTGGTCACCATCATCAACCTGATAGGAAACAGCCTCTCCATGTGGCTCCTCCTCTTCCATACCTCTCCCAAAACTCCCTCCATCATCTTCATGATCAACCTGACCGTGACTGACCTGACCTTGGGCCTCGTCCTGCCCTTCCAGATCATGTATCAGATGCAGGGATATAACTGGAGCCTGGGCCCGGGCATGTGCAGGTATTCTTGTTTATTCTTTTGACTATCATTTATTTATCCTGATCAGTACCATTGAGGTAGATGTGCCTTTTACAAGCCCTGGAAAAGAGCCAACAACTTTCTTTCATCACAGATTAATAATGATTAATTATCTTCCACAGGCTCTTGACCCTGGTGTTCTTTGCCAACATGTACTGCTCAATTCTAACTATGACCGCCATCAGTGGAGACCGCTACCTGGGCATCTGCCGGCCCATGCTCTTCTGTGAGACCAGGGAAAGGAAGTCATTCGCTGTGATTGTCTGCTTTGCCATGTGGACAGTCGTCCTATTGGTCCTGTACCCACTCTCTATAACTGACCTGACATTCCACGTTCCAGAACTCAGGATTACCACCTGCTTCGACGTTCTGAAGAGGGACATGCTTCCATCCATGGTGGCCTGGGCTGCCTTCCTCCTTGCCCTGTTTGTCATCCTCTTCCTTATCCCGTTCTGCATCACTGTTTTCTGCTACGTCAGCATCATCCGTAAACTGGCCCGAGACTCCAAGACCAAACAGAAGGAGAAGGCTATAGGTCTCGCCGTCACCGTCCTAACGGTCTTCACGCTCTGCTTCACTCCCAACAACATCCTCCTTCTGGCTCACACCATCCGGAGGCTCTTCTATGGGGAGTCCTTCTACATGGCCTACAAGCTGACTCTCTCCCTCAGTTGCTTCAACAGCTGCCTGGACCCCTTCATCTACTATTTTGCCTCTAGGGAGTTCCGTAAGAAGTTGAGGCAGATGCTAAGGCTGAGAACACTGAGCAGTCTGGACACGGGGAAGACAGACCTGCACAGAGAGAGCCTGTACTCTGCCCAGTATGTGTCTGAGGGACAGGGTGGAGAGAACGGCAGAGTGTCTGTTAAACAACACTGTTAAAAAACAGATAGAGAGGGCCTCCCGAGTGGTGCAGCATTCTAAGACACTGCATCGCAGTGTTAGAGGCGTCACTACAGACCCGGGTTTGATCCCAGGTTGTGTCGCAGCCGGCCATGATTGGGAGACCCACGAGGCGGCGCACAATTGGCCCAGCGTCGTCCGGGTTTGGCCGGCATGTCCTTGTCCCATCACTCTCTAGCGACTCCTTGTGGCGGCCCGGGCGCATGCACGCTGACTCGTGTTGCCAGTTGTACGGTGTTTCCTCTGACACATTGGTGCGGCTGGCTTCAGGGTTAAGCGAGCAGTGTGTCAAGAAGCAGTGCGGCTTGGCAGGGTCGTGCTTCGGAGGACGCATGGCTCTCGACCTTCGCCTCCCCCGAGTCCGCAACGGGAGTTGCAGCGATGGGACAAGTCTGTAACTACCAATTGGGGTAAAAAGTCAAAAACAAATAACAAAAACATTGAGAGATGGCAGATGACAACCAATATGACATTTTGTAATATCCCCTGTTCAAATAATTTCACAGGAATGTTTTTGTGTGCTGTATATAGACCCACTAACAAACCAGGGCAGATGGTTCTTCACAAAGTTAGTAAAATAGGGTTATTTATTTTGTGAAGTACTGTTGCAACTTGCCTAAAGATAGGAATTAGATAGTGTGGCTGAGTGAGAGCTAGGCTCCTTTTACCACGAATGTGATCTCTGCCTCCTGCCAATTCGGGCGCATTCATTGTTTCATTGTGTAAATTATTAAGTCTACCCACTGGGGTAATTTCAACGAAATTACATTGAACCAACGTGGAATAGACATTGAATTGACTTCTCTGCCCAGTGGGTACCTTTGTTAAATGTTTATCCATTCCCTGCTAATTATATCACCAGTAATGAATTTTATGTTAATCTCCGTCATCTAGAACGTTAGAGTTTGTTTAAATTGCTAAATTCTATTCATTCATGAAATAAATATGAATTTACCGTTCTCATTCTCTGAGAGTTTGATGTAATTTTCCCTAATGTCTTTTGTTTGGAGCGCTCCATAAAAAAATATATTTAAAAAATTATAATAATTGCACTTGTCTAGCACTGACTTAGCTCATAACCTTCTTATTTAGGAATTTATTTTTTACTATGACTGTGATATGTGGTTGTCCCATCTAGCTATCTTAAGATAAATGCAGTGTAAGTCGCTCTGGATATGAGTGTCTGCTAAATGATTAAAATATAAATGTAAAAATGTCTAACCTAGCTACCGTAAAATGAATGCACTAACTGTAAATCACTCTGGATAAAAGTGTCTGCTAAATGAGTAAAATGTAAACATCTGAGCATGCATAGAAAGAGGCCTATATGGCATGTGCGCTACAATTGGGGTCAGTACTGTGAGTTGAAAGACAATTTTGAAAAGTGTTCAATTTAGGAACTGTGATAAAATGTTAAGATTAAGTCTTATTTAGATGCATTTACCAATGTAATGATGGATATGGAAAGTGCATATGTATCGGTTTGAGGTCCTGTGATTCAGATTTGTTTTGGTTTCTTCGTTTTGGTTTCTTGGCATGGACACACGGATAGCGTTTGCCGGCCGAGAGTTCCAGCAGTAATTTGCAAACCTAGTGCGAAACGATTGATCCAGATGATTGATCCAGATTATTAGAAAAATTATAGGCCCATCTCAAACCTCCCTTTTCTTTAAAAGATTCTAGAGCAGTTTTCCTTCTTCCAACAGCACCATCATGAGGTGAAACACAACAATACTCTACAGCCCTCAAACTCAACTCTGGAGCTCGAAGCCAGTTCCACTGCATTTTTTTATTGTTCCCCTCTAATCAGGGACTGATTTATACCTGGGACACCAGGTGGGTGCAATTAATTATCAGGAAGAACAGAAAACCAGCAGGCTCCGGACCTCATAGGGTAAGAGTTGAATACCCATGATCTACAGGTTAACTAGACTCACATCCATGAGAATGTGTGCCAAATTCCATAACTCTGAGTCAAACAGATCAAGATAGCGCCACCATGTGGTTGATATGAATGTTTTAGCATATGTTGAGTCTTGACAGTGTTCTGAATATTTATCAAGATTTGTTACAATATGAATAACCATGTCTGATTTATATGCATTTATGTGCCAGGTTGATTTGCTTGATATTTTCTATTACATGGCACCTTCACTGTTGGATCACCATGAAATACCTGTAAATAAAGTCTACACCTTGAGCACTTGACTTCAGCTGATTTCCTTCCATTACGTCTGCTACAGTTGTCTATTTTACAAATAGAAAAAAATAAAATGAATTAAAAGTCACTACCAAAGAAACATGGAAATAAATTATGAAGAGGGTTTCCATAGGACGTGTTAGAAATCAAATTAAGCCCTATACTATGTTAAATATAAAATTGGTCTGTAGCTTTAACAGTACAAGAGCAGTTTTTAAAATGGTATTATATGGTTGCCTTTGACACCCATATGAAAATGACAAATATGTTTTGTAATTTATAATTAAGCTTCAGACAACCAACTCATTACCACCTGTCATTATACAAGACACATTTCCACCTGACACTATATATCAATGAAATTACAAAGGAATAGAAACATACTTTTTTTGTATTTTCTTCCGTTCAGTGACGACCCAGAGCAACTAGCCCTAATGCCTTGGTAATAACAGCTCCTGCACACCCCATCTCTACTACAACATTTTGACTTTTCTGTTTTTTTAGGGTATCTGACCGGTCTACGTCGCTCCTCCTGCTTTTGTTCTGTTAATATAATTCCACTGGATGGCGCTGTCACATCAGGGTCCTGGCACTGCTCATTGACAGCTGCTATTTGAAATTCTCACACTTCTGGTAAGAAAATTACATTTTATCTGGACAGGTTTTCAGACTTTCATTACGGAACGTGTTATACTCATGTTTTCCTGCAATAGTCAGTATTTCAGTCAGCTGTTCAGCCCTATGTGAGATCGATGTTGTTGTTTGAGCACGTTATTGTCAAAACATCGAGATAGAAACGAGATGAGAAACGTTAGGTAGGCCTACTACACTATTAAAATGTTATGCCACCGTCAAAATACATTTACTGTAGAAGTAGCCAGCCCATGAGATTCGTATCGGAATGAACTAGCGAAACGTGGGGGATGGGAACTGAGAGACTGGAGGAAGCAGTCACAGCAGAGGGGAAGAGGCGAAGCAAGAGGGATAACTGGGCACAAAATCTGTCTTCTCCAGCAAGTGGCGTTCTGTATTTTTTTCGCTCACCAAGCGAGGAGTTTTTGTATCGAGGTCAATGAGAGTGTCGAATTTGGTTAACAAAATGCGTAATGGCTTATTTGCTATGTGTGGCTTATTTGATCGAATTTACGTTTTTTAATGATGAAGTTGTTACGAATGTACTGATATAAGTAGGACACGTGAAATCCCGTCAACTTTGAGAAAAAACACTTTATAGCGGAGTTGTGCCTGGTCGTCACTAGTTACCACAGCCACAAAGTCATAAACCCAGCCTATTTCTAAAATGTATCTTCTTCAATTGTGATTTAAACCTAACCTTAACCGCACTGCTAACCCTATGCCTAACTTTAACGTTAAATTAAGACCAAAAAGGCATTTATTTTCATGAATTTGTACGATAATAGCCAACCATTGGAAATAGGCGGGGTTTATGACCTTGCGGCTGTGGTAACTAGTGGAAACCGTTGTACATGCGTATCTGCCCTCTCATTGGCTAGAATGGTCCCACCTGATCTTGCTTCTTCCCGGCTGCCTTCCATTTTTGAAGACGTTTATTTTCATTGTTGGAGTGGCCAATGGAGTATCTGGTCAATAAAATTGGATAATCGTTGGTCACAGCCCCTTTACCACGGTCTTCACTAGTTACCACAGCCGCAAGGTCATAAACCCCGCCTATTTCTACAATGTATCTTTTTACAATCTGCTTTAACCTAACTGCACTGCTAACTTCATGCCACAAGGTCATAAACCCCGCCTATTTCTACAATGTATCTTTTTACAATCTGCTTTAACCTAACTGCCCTGCTAACTTCATGCCTAATCCTAACCAAAAAGCGATTTTGACTTTGTGGCTGTGGTAAGTAGTGATAAACCTTTAGCACAAGTATTTTACACGAAATTCTGAGTGATTCTCGAAGCATCCATTCAAACTGCGTGCTTTATGATCACTGCCAGATAGATAGCCAATGACGAGTTGAAGTGGGCATGTTGTTGTTGTTTTTTATCAGGAAGTCTATATCGTCTGGCGGTAATACAATAGTAATTGTCAGATGAATTTGTATTCATGCTCCGCTATCGCGTCGGGCCGAACAACGCCATTTACCTGTGACTGTATTCATGATACTGCACTGCCTCTTGTGCCTTATTGCTTAAATAATTGCCTGGAAGTAGATGTATTTATATTAATGTTGCATGACTAAATGCACTATAGGCCTAGTATAATGAGCATTATGTAATGATTACAATTTCAGATGATATGATAGTTGTTCTGTTCTACGGCCCGGTTTCCAAATAGCGATGGAATTTATATTAGGTTTACGAGTGTTTTAACGATGCATCTTTTATACAACGGCGGAAGATGTAACATGCGTTTCCCAAAAACACCACTCCAGAGAGAACGTACATGCATTGTTGAGGCATAGGTCGATACTCTACTGTGTAGCACCGACAACAGGTGTTGTCTTTTCACACATGTACACACACACAGCTGTGACTCCTGGGAGATGACAGCATGGGTACTAATTAGCCTATTTAAAGATGTGACAGCCAGCAAGGTGCAGAAAACCAGAATACACACTAAGCGATTGTTCAGTAGAGCACTATGATCAGAATGTTGCAGATACAGTTGAAACTGATTTTAAATAGGTAAAGTGCAAACTCATTTTAAGTTCATGTCTAGTTCACAAGTCCCAGTCAAATAACAAACACACTCATTGTTCTTGCTCCCGATATCTGCAAGGTCTTGTTTAGTGCACACATTCAAGACAGCCCCAAGCCATTTTTCAGGAGTCAGCTGTATCTGGTAGAAAAACACAGATTTGTGACTTCACTCTCCATTTTACATTATCTCACGTTTTTCTGTGCTTTTCTATGCTTTACCATGTCTATCTGCAATGTTCTGAATGTTTCACCCACCTAAACTAGTTCTAGTAGCAGCCCAGGGACAGGTATAGAGTGCTGTGAAAAGTATTTGCCCCCTTTCTAATTTTCTCTACTTTTGCATATTTCTGATACTGAATGTTATCAGATCTTCAACCAAAACACAATATTAGATAAAGGGAACCTTAGTGAACAAATAACACAACAATGACATACTTATTTCATTTATTTCATAAACAAAGTTATTTCGTCCAGAAAGTTGACTCAAGTTTGCCAAAAAGCACCTGGAAGCACCTGGATGATCATCAAGAATGTTCTCTGGATAGATGATTCAAAAGTATAACTTTTTGGATGACATGGGTCCCATTATGCCTGGCGAAAACCAAACACTGCATTCCACAGTAAGAACCGCATACCAACAGTCAAGCATGGTGGTGGTAGTGTGATGCTTTGCTGCCTCAGGTCCTGGATGACTTGCCTTAATAGAAGGAATCATGAATTCTGCTCTGTATCAAATAATTCTACAGCAGAATGTCAGGCCATCCGTCTGTGAGCTGAAGTGCAGTTGGGTCATGCAGCAAGACATTGATCCAAAACACACAATCAAGTCTACATGAAAAGGGCTAAAAAGCAACACATTTGAATGTTTTGGAATGGCCTAGTCAAAGTCCAGACATAATCCCAATTGAGATGTTGTGGCTGGACTTGAAACGAGCGGTTCATGCTTGAAACCCCACAAATGTTGCTGAGTTAAAGCAGTTCTGCATGCAAGAGTGGGCCAAAATTCCTCCACAGTGATGTAAGAGACTGATCAACAACTACAGGATGCATTTGGTTGCAGTCATTGCAGCTAAAGGTGGCACAATCAGTTATTGAGTGTAAGGGGGCAATTTTTTCACACAGGGTAATTGGGTGTTGCACAACTTTGTTAATGAAATAAATAAAATAAGTATCCTTTTTTTTTTTTTTTTTTGTAGACTCAGGCCTCACTCTCTATTCAACTACTGCTATTAAAGCTGGTTAATAATATGCTATTATTTGCATCCCTAAATAAGTCATTGCCCCCTTAAGAGCAATTGCCTGACAGCATTGACATGCTCTTGCCGGTAAAACAATTATAATATATGGTATGCACTGCAAGCCTATGGTGTAGTTGTACAGATCTGGCACATCTGAGGATTTATTGTGATGCAGTATGTTTTTTTCTGCATGTCTCCCTTTTCAACAGCAACTCTGAAACCACTGGACACATCTATACTCATAGCTCCACACTGAAACACACACCACCTCCCCCAGCTCCTGTGGGCAGATGATGTGAAGAGAGATGATAGCAGAACCTACAGTCACCTCCAGGTCCTCAGTACAGAAGTAAAAAACATGATTCTTTGACATTATAACACAATTTATGAAAAAGTGGTAACCTTCCACTCTCTGAAACCTCTTAATCAAGCTGATTATGGAAAGATAGTAGCCAGAGTGCCTGACTGTTTCTGTTATCAACAATGCAAATTCTTTGCCTTAGCAAATAAGACAACAAATTGTCTAAAGCAGAAGCAAACTTGCACTCAGGCTAATGCTATTGTCGTAGCAGTAATGTAATCTCTTATGCCGGGATTCAGTCAGTTACATATATGCCTAGTAGCTTTCCAGATGTGCACTCAGTTGCACAACAGCAATAGATGGAATAGTCAGGGAGTTGACGATGGGCGGTTCCAGAGAGGAGCTTGATAGTGCTGAAGCCCCCGTATGTACACCATAGATTGTAAGCAACCCCTAAACTACCAAAGTAAAGAATTACTGGTGCCCCACTAGAGTTGACACCTGATATCGAAATTGTTAGATTGCATGCACTTGAAGAATTTTCTGAACGATCATGCGATGATGGGACATGCCATACTCTTTTTGACCAGACAGCATCAGATATATGGGACAGAGGGGTACTGTTTCACTCGCTCGGCTGCTTTATCTGAGATTGATGCGTCTTTCTGTCGGCCGCGCGTCTCTGTCAAATAAATTCTCAATATTTACATATTTTATTTAGACGGGCAAGGAAGTACGGTAGGGCGGGCCAGGCCCCCTAAGGCTGCCGTTACAAGACGCAACTTACACGCAATTTTAGTTGCTTGCAACTGAGTTTGCTTCTTGATTGCTTCATGAAACACCCCCCTGCAACTAATAAACAAGTCATCTGCAACTTGGTTGTATCCAGTTGAAATGTTCAACTTTGTGCAACTAGTTGCAAGCAAAGCCAATCAAAACAAACACTTTTGTCACATGATCCATTCGAAGGTTCGGAATTCTGACCCAGTTGTCATGTCAACACAGCTGTCAGTGCTGTGAAGCACAACCTGTGATCAGGGTTGAGAGAATAGAGACTAGCACAACAGGAGATGTATACGAATTATTGTACATGGTGAACCCAAACCTCTCCCTGACCAGTTTCAACTGAAATGGTCCACCATGAACTGTGCTAGCTAGCTTAGCTAGTTTGTTGCTAGCTTGTTGCTAGCTCATTGCTACAGTAGCTAGTTGTGTTGGTGTTTGCAATGTCCTATTGGCTAGCTAGCTAAATTGTACAGGCTGCATTTCTTCTATATCTATGCTGTTACAATAAGCAAACAGTTGGATAAACAAATAATTTGTGAAACCACAATGTAATGCAGCAGATGGCATAGGGTGAGTTTAGAATTTTCAAACAAGCAGCTTTAATTTGATTTGCTGTTGCATGCAATTTTAATCTCGTTTGAGTTGCTTCAAGGAACAGCAAAGTTGCTTGAGCGATGATGTCACTTGCAACTAAAATTGTGTGAAAGTTACTTTGTGTAACTCCAGCCTAAAGGCATCAGCATGCTTCGGTTCGGCTGGCTAGGCGAACCGAACGATTGTGCTCGCATACTCCCTTAAAAGACCTTCACTTGAAAAATTTGGCAATAGTACCGTTTGTCATCTTGAGACGCCATAGTCAGAATTAATCTAAGATAACTCCAGATATCTGTCATTCATTTTGATGTTTTTGCAGAGGAGATCTTAGTCATGCAATTTTACATCTAACTAAGATGTTTGGTGCAGTATTTCTCAAGTAAAAAATTTGCATGAAAATGAGTCATCTCTTGTTGAATGACAACAAACACTTCATTGAAGAATCCCTACTTTGGTACCAATCACCGACGAAGGGACGTAGACTTCAGTTACCGACTTCGGCTTGCCTCGAGAAAACATTTTGTGCGCACGAACAGCCGGAAAAACCCTTGCTGAAGACCAAAACGAACAGAAACGTCACAAAATGTCGTTATAATAAATGCACGAACTGTTCCGAACTGTTTTGGATGGGAAGCATGCGGACGCCTTAAGGCCCGCCCATAACGCCGGTCCTCACTATGCAGAAAATCCACTAGATGCAATTGATTAAATACAGGCCTAGGTTAATCATCTTATGAATAATGTCCTGTGTGGTAGTTGTCCATCAGTATCATCTGTGATTTCCCAGTGAGAACTTGGCTGTGGACGCAAACTCCTCTGAAGCTGTCAATCACACAGTGGGCGGAGCCCGGAATGAGAACAGACAGAAGAGTTTGGTGGGTGCTGGGCATTTACATATTCCAATCTCACTTCTGGTCATGTAGAATTTCACTGCTGGTCATTTACACATTGTAGAATTTCACTGCTGGTCATTTACATATAATAGGATCCACAGGAGACTGGTGAGGGGAGGACAGGCTCATAATAATAGCTGGAATGGAGTAAATGGAATGGTATCAAAAACTCAGGTCCAGACATTATTATGAGCCTGTCCTCCCCAATTAAGCTGCCACCGGCCGCCTGTGATAGGATCTACAATGGCACAGAGAAATATTACACAGGCCCACTTTACAGCCTACAACCAGGATGGTTCTGTGATTTGATTGGGGAACACAGTGGTGGACACTTTCTAATTCAGTAAACATACTCAGGTGTCATTAAAACCTATTTTAATGATAATCAGTTAAGGATATCAAAAATAGTTTAGTAAAGACTATGTAGACTTTGTATATAAACTTTGGGTACTCAGCCAAGAATGTTCCAGAAACATCAACGGTCTGTACAGTAACAGTCTATGTTCCTGTTTGTGGGTGTGTCGGTCTCCCTGTATTTAACCCTTCAGAGAGGGAAGAGGAGGGCACGGGAGGGCTCTGAGAATGCCAAGCGCAGACACACCAAGGTGACCAATGGCAGTCTGGGTCGGGCACAGAACGGACACCTCAAACACGGGGACATTGAGGCCGTCACACTGTTCGAGGTGGTCACCATGGGCAGGAGTGCCATGCAGGTACGAGTAAACCCACTGGGCACAGACTGGTTGAATCAACGTTGTTTCCATGTAATTTCAATGAAATTACGTTGAACTAATGTGGAATAGACGTTGAATTTACGTCTGTGCCCAGTGGGAAGCATCTATTTTTAGTCATAATAATCCCTCCAACAATGCTGTATGATCTTTTGGACTTGATCTTGTATCTGACACCTTTGTTTCTACATGTAAAGTGGGAGAGTTTGTCTATCTGTCTCTGTCTGTCTTCCCTGCAGGCTGTAGTTGATGATTGGATTGAGGCGTACATCACAGACAGAGACTCTGCCCTCCTGGACCTCATCAGCTTCTTCATCCAGTGCTCTGGTTGCAAAGGCAAGCAGGCACCTGCGTGCGCACACACAAAAAACACCCAACCCTCCCCCACACCCACCAAATGCATACATGATTAGAAGAAGTTAACTATAAGGGAATAAGTCATGTAATGTAGTATGAGGTATTTGAATACAGGTTGTTACATACTGTAGTACTTGTCACCTTCTCCAGGTTTGGTGACAGCTGAGATGTTCCAAAGCAGACAGGATGATGTCATGAGCAAGATGGTGGAGGAATTGGATGAGGTGTGAGTCTGTCAGTCATTGTGGCCTCCTCTCTGTCTACCATCTATATTTGAAGAGTTTCGTTGCAAAACGCAATACTCACCAATTTTTCAACAACAAAAAACATCTGAAATGTTTATGGGTACCTGTGTGTAAAATATTACTGTTCTCAGAATATTTATAACGCTATATAATAATTGTTAATCTGTTTATATATCCATCGTTTAGCTGGAATGGAATGTCCGAATCCTACATAAAGATCTCATTACTGTATAGATTTATATATATATATATATATATATATAACATTGTATAAGGGACTGATTTGAAATTTACAGAATGGTTGCCTGGAGGAAAATGGGGGAGAGTCATGCTTTTTCAATTGTAGTCAAGGGAAGGGTTTAGTATAAAAAAGAAAAAAGAATTAGTCCAGGGGAGGGTCATGTTTCTCAGTGATTTAGAATTAGTTGCTTATTAGGCTACATATCAGTGTGTGCCTGATGCCGCTCCTCATCTCTGATTCTCTACTGGGCGCACAATATTAATTGCGCCTATAGATTATTTAGTATGGTCTGAATAAATTTTTCCATAGTCTATAGGCTACAAAGTGCATGCTCGGAGAAGCACAGAGCAAAGTTGTATTTCTAAGAGAGCTGCTGGGAGGGTGTAAATAAAACTAGGCTGCATTACACACTATATTCCAACCCTGAGCCCCGGCCTGCTCTGCTCTGCTCTTGCTGGTCAAAAACCTTTTTGTGTGCTGCTTAACCATTGGCTGTGCTGTGTAGGGCTACGGTGGCAGTTCAGGAGGAGTCAAAGGTTTCTTCCTAATTTTTTGGAACTTGAAGCAGCAGCCGCTGCACAATCAATCAGAAAGGGACAGCTCATGGTGCTAAAGTAGAAAAATTAGAGTAGGAATAATTCATTTAAACCGTCTTTTATTTTAATTTGACTTTACTATCAACAAGAGGACTTTGTGTTGGAGCCTATTTATTCCTATTTAAGAAATAAGAGCTAGGCCTACCTGTTTGACAGTTGAAATTAGGCTATAGGCTGCTATATCCATAGATGTATTAGTCAATTCCTCCACCCACCATGCACTCTTTAAATAGCCTATATGTCAGTGAAGGGCTGTTAAGTTAAAACCAAGATTCTAATTGAGGGGGTACGAGAGGGTATGCCATAGGCCTACTTTTAATTAAAGAAAATGGCAAAAAGAACAAGCCTACCCCTTGTTAGCTTTTGAAGAAAATAAAACTGATCCGATTATATAAAGGGATCTATAACAGTGCTTTGGTCCGTGATGCTTTATGCTAGAAACAAGCTGTAAAATACACGTTAAAGACGTGACTCCGATGCATATGGGGATATCATTGTTTCATTTCTTTGACACTCCGAGGCTGACTTTGATTGGGAAGTAATCTAATTCTGTCATTATCAATTGATGAAGCTATTCACTTTATGTACAATAGAATATGTTTAAACCCAGACAGCTTTTAGGGAAACACTTGTGACCTTCTCTCGTTGGGTTAAGCCACGGAAGAAGAGTAGCTAGCAGTTAAAGCATACATTTTTTTCTGCGTCGGTAGGCCTACTCTGTCTGGGGTGGAAAGGTAGGCCTAACTTTTGAAAGTACCATGCTCAGATTTAATTATTTGCAAACAGGGACTGTTTCGTTGCAAACAAGACACACTGATTTGGCATAAGATGAACACATAAGCCCTATCTCTCTGTCTATTCTAAGCCGTTAATTTTGGTGACATAGAATTGCATGAAATGTTTATAAAATGCAATTATTTTCTCAGACCTGCAATTACAATGATAGATTCATGCAATGATTTTACTTTAAAGGAGATCTTTCCACCCCTACTCTTGCCCATGGTGGTCTGCGAACCCACAACCTTCTGACATGCAGCCCTGTGCGCTATCAAAAAATAACAGTTTCTAAAACTGCGTATCTAAGGCTCTGGTCTGTCCAAGATGTGAGGGTATTGTTCTCGGTAGACATGTTCTCTGCTATCCACTTTGTTTAAATTATTATTTTGTGTATAGGGGAGAGTCACTTGTTTTTTTTTCAAGCTTTCAGGGAGGGTTTAGGTAAAATATATTTTGCTGAAGGGAGGGCCATCCATTTCTATTTCAGAGAGGTCTGATTTTCTCCATGTAACCCTTATTATAAATAATGTTCACTCCCTAATTTGTACAGTTCTTGTTATGAAAAAATTTATTTGTCACATTTGACTGTGTAAACCGTAGCAGTGCTTCAAGATTAAGGCGGATCTACACCGTTTTGCAACAACATTATTATTTATTTCTCTTAAATTAACTCTGTTGTTAAATAATTTTGTGTCTGTGTGTCAGGATTCGGGGCTGCAGTATAAGAAATTCCTGGCCTTTCCCTGGATCCTCACAGTCACGTGGCCCATGGACATGGTCAGTTTCTGATACATATTAACATTTTAGAAATTAAAGCGTATCTAGTTCCCCCTTTGCATGTTAAGTCCTGCAGTTCAAGTTTTCGTAGAGCTACCAATATTCACTCACTTTGTCTCTGTCTCTCTCTGTGTGTCTGTCTGTGTAGGACAGTGGGGAATATCCTCTCACCATGTCTGGTCCATACTGGCGGCGGTTCCGTGGTGAGTTCTGTGAGTTTGTGTCGGTGTTGGTAACCCAGTGTCAATACAATGTGATCTTTGACAGCTACCTCATGGACACACTCATCTCTCTGCTCACCGAGCTGTCCGACTCCCGCGTACGAGCCTTCAGACACACCTGCACATTGGCAGGTAACAAAAACACACACACACACACTGGCAGGTCACACACGTACGCGCACACACACACCCCTGCACTCTGGCAGATGTCACACACGCATGGCAAAACACCTCTAAAGATGCCCAAGGCACTTGTGTGTGTGTGTGTAAAATATCAAATGGCTTTATTGTTCACGTCTGAAGTGTAAAACTACTAATGACTCAATAATTCATGCCTTCTGGGAAAGTTATGGTCGGAGTTGGAAAGATGGGTGTCAGAAGTATTACAATGTAAATGTACTTTTAATTCGTCTGTCTGCATATTTCAAGATAGTCATATGAGGGTGCAGTGAGATACCCGATGGGTTGGACAATACTTTTCTCATCAGTCATTTAAAAATAAAACATATACTTAAACTGGAAATGTACAATAGAGCGAGGAGTTGCAGCTGTAGCAACCTCCACCAGGATATTGAATGTGTATGACCTCCTCCTGTTGTGACCCCCATAGCGATGAAGTTGCTAAGCTCTCTGATTGGAGTAGCCCTTAGTCTGAGTGTGAGTGTTGAGAACAGCCAGAGACTGGGCGAGGTGGAGAGAACCAAGACATCAGGAAGACGCAACTCACCAAGACTGGAGAGAATACACAGAAAGACCACAGAGGTGAGGCTGTGTGTGTGTGTGCGTGTGTCAGTGCAGGTGTGTGTGTGTTATGTCAACACCACATTTTACAAGTAACTTCTTCAGCTGCAGGATAGAAGGGTGGAGATAGAAAACATGATGGATGCCATATTCAAAGGAGTCTTCCTGAAGAGATACCGGTAAGCACCCTATTTACTCTACTCACCGTATTTGTGTTTTTCAGTGTTTGAGTCAGACCTGGATTTAAATAATATTTATTGTATTACTTTCAAATACATTTTCGAAATAAGTATTTAGACAATTGAAGTTGACTATTGAAATGTTTTTGGAAATACATTTGGAAAGTATTGGCATGTAGTACATCTACTTGTAATAAAAGTAATTGTTTACATTTTGTCCTCCGTAGGGATGTGCTCCCAGAGATCCGGTCCATGTGTATGGAGGAGCTGGCTGTATGGATGAAACTTTACAGTCCAGTGTTTCTGACCGACAGCTACCTCAAATACATGGGCTGGATGATGCATGACAAGGTAAACAACAACAACCACCACAACAACAACAAAAACATGTAGCCTGCACAAAGACACATTTAGTTAGGAGTCTTGGTTAATTAACTTTAGCTTAACCATCTTTACTTGCAGAAACAAAAATGCTTGTTGAAGTTTTAAGTCAGTGTATCCTGTTGTGTAATTTTGTTTCATTAGAACACATTATTTTGTTGTCACAGTTGCAGAATCTAACCATATGTTGCAGATGTTAGCTGACGTCACCCTCCCTGAGCTCTAAAGTTCGCTGTCGCTCAAGGAGTGACAGGATAGCTTCTTGGTTTGTCAGTTAGCACATTTGACTTCGAGTGACGATGTGTTGTGCAGAGGATGCCGGGATCATGTCCTGGCTGAGGAGGACAAGGACAGAATTCACTCTGTTACACATAAACACCATTTTTCACTGTACACACACACACTCTCCTTCCCCCCCTTAGCTGCCTGACGTGCGTCTGAAGTGTGTGTTGGGGCTACAGGGTCTGTACGGAGACCCGCTCCTCCTGCCCAAACTAGACCTCTTCAACAGCCGCTTCAAGGTACAGTGACCCAGTATGTGAGTGTATGTGCGTGCTTGCCAGTGTGTGTATAATAATAATAATAATATGCCATTTAGCAGACGCTTTTATCCAAAGCGACTTACAGTCATGCGTGCATACATTTTTAGGTATGGGTGGTTCCGGGGATCTAACCCACTACCCTGGTGTTACAAGCACCATGCTCGATCCCCGGAGGGCACCTTGGATTTGATACCAGCAACCCTCCGATTGCAAGCTCACTTGCCGACAGTTCTATATCATGGAGCTCCGCCCCATAGGGGAGCTCTGCTCCTATTGGTGTACCCCGCTGCCTAGGCAGTGAACAGCCTGAGACAAAATTATGCACACACCTGCAGCCAATAGGAGTACAGGTGTCCCTATAAGAGGGGACGCTTCCCCTCAATCAGCCTCCCATTATCTTCAGCGACTGGACTAGACTGAAGAAGCCACGAAGACTCAGGACGAAGATAACGCCGTCGATTTCTAGCTCTCGACATCTTCCTAAATGAGCACACTGGGAAGTTTTCCACCCCCAAAAGCTATTTTCAGAGCTCAATGCCGCTGTTCCTCCATGGCGGCTGTGGACTCCCACAACCGTTGTTTCGTGTGTTTGGGTTCACAGCGCGCCAAGGACGGAATCATCGATCCCCCTATTTGCGCCAACTGCGCCCTCCTTCCTTTGAAGGAGAGGAAGCAGCACTGGGCGTTTTTTAGGAGGATATCCCCTTAGCGGATGTGCTATCGGTGTTAGCCTCAGCTTCTGAAGCATCATCTGAGGGCGCAGACTCTGAGGAAGACAGGGATTATGGGGATGAGATGGATATTCCTGTGGAACAATCCGTCCCTCTGACCCAGACTTTCAAGATCCCCTTTCCTTTGGAGAGTGAGAGGTCTTGTAACTCCCTGGGCGATGACGACACATGCTCTGAGAGATCAGTAGCCCTGTCCTTCACGGCAGGCTCTCTGCACTCAGATTTTCCAGGGCTCATTGAGAGGGCTGCTAGACATCTAGAGATAGCGCTTCCCCCCACTCCCCCCGATGCGGAAGTGAATATGATGGAGGGCGGACCTTATTCTCGGCCGAGAAGGGCGGCAGAGCCACTGGCACCAGCCATGCCCTCTCTCAGTAAGTACGTTGAGGGCTCATGGGAGGCACCTCTAGCGGCGCATTCGCCGGCTAAAGCGTACCTCCCATTCACTAGAGTGGAAGGGAGACAGATGGTTGCTAAGGAAATCCCCAGGCTCGAGAGCGCCATGGCGGCATATCTCGTGCCGGGTTCGAGTCCCTGGCCCTCCTCCAAAAAGGCCACTTTGCCGACGCAGAAGGACAGACTCACAGCGCAGCTGGCAGAGAAGTCCTTCACGTTGGTATCCCCGGCTGTAGCAGCAGCAAACAATGTTGCCCTCCTCGCGGCCTCTCTGTCCGGTCTAACAACGTTGTTTGTGTGGGTAGATGCATGCATGTGTGTTAAATGGGCAATCCGCTGTTGCTACATACATTTTTTGGACTTACAGTACCAGACAAAGGTTTGGACACACCTACTCATTCAAGGGTTTTTCTTTATTTGTACTATTTTCTACATTGTAGAATAATAGTGAAGACATCAAAACTATGAAAGAACACATATGGAGTCATGTATTAACCAAAGTGTTAAACAAATCAAAATATATTTTATATTTGAGATTCTTCAAAGTAGCCACCCTTTGCCTTGATGACAGCTTTGCACACTCTTGGCATTCTCTCAAGCAGCTTCATGAGATAGTCACCTGAAATGCATTTCAATTAACAGGTGTGCCTTGTGAAAAGTTAATTTGTGGAAATTCTTAATGTGTTTGAGCCAATCAGTTGTGTTGTGACAAGGTAGGGTTGGTATACAGAAGATAGCCCTATTTGGTAACAGACCCAAGTCCATATTATGGCAAGAACGGCTCAAATACAATGGCGTCTGTACGGAGATACAATGGCTGCTGTTTTATGGACTCTTAACCAACCGTGCTATTTTGTATGTTTTTTCGCATTGTTTGTAACTTATTTTGTACATAATGTTTCTGCTACCGTCTCTTATGACCGAAAAGAGCTTCTGGACATCAGAACAGCGATTACTCACCTTGAACTGGACAAATAATTTTTATTTTATGTTTCGGACGAGAGGGATTTGCTCCAGACACCCGACAGGGCCCTCATCCCCGTCATTCGCAGTAGAAAGAAAAGGAGATATCGCGGAAGGAGATCGGGCTAATCTGCCTTTGCCGTCGATACTATTGGCCAATTTACAATCGCTTGATAATAAAGTGGACGAACAACAGGCACGTATGTCCTACCAACGGGACATTAAAAACGATATATTTATATTTCACAACGAAGACAGGAATAACATACAGCTGGCAGGTTATACACTGTATCGGCAGGATAGAACAGCAGCCTCTGGTAAGACAAGGGGTGGCGGTCTATGTATATTTGTAAACAACAGCTGGTGCACAATGTCTAAGGAAGTCTCAAGGTTTTGCTCGCCTGAGGTAGAGTATCTCATGATAAGCTGTAGACCACACTATCTACCAAGAGAGTTTTCATCTATATTCTTTGTAGCTGTCTATTTACCACCACAAACCGATGCTGGCACTAAGACCGCACTCAATTAACTGTATACAGCCATAAGCAAACAGGAAAACGCTCATCCAGAGGCGGTGCTCCTAGTGGCCGGGGACTTTAATGCAGGGAAACTTAAATCCGTTTTACCTCATTTCTACCAGCATGTTAAATGTGCAACCAGAGGGAAAAATACTCTAGACCACCTTTACTCCACACACAAAGACGCGTACAAAGCTCTCCCTCGCCCTCCATTTGGGAAATCTGACCATAATTCTATCCTCCTGATTCCTGTTTACAAGCAAAAACTAAAGCAGGAAGCACCAGTGACTTGGTCAATAAAAAAGTGGTCAGATGAAGCAGATGCTAAGCTACAGGACTGTTTTGCTAGCACAGACTGGATTATGTTCCGGGATTCTTCCGATGGCATTGAGGAGTACACCACATCAGTCACTGGCTTCATCAATAAGTGCATCGATGACGTCGTCCCCACAGTGACTGTACGTATATACCCCAAGCAGAAGCCTTTGATTATAGGCAACATCCGCACTGAGCTAACGGGTAGAGCTGCCGCTTTCAAGGAGCGGGACTCTAACCCGGAAGCTGATAAGAAATCCTGCTATGCCCTCTGAACCATCAAACAGGCAAAGCGTCAATACAGGACTAAGATCGAATCGTACTACACAGGCTCCGACGCTCGTCGGATGTGGCAGGGCTTGCAAACTATTACAGACTACAAAGGGAAGCACAGCCGCGAGCTGCCCAGTGACACGAGCCTACCAGACGAGCTAAATTACTTCTATGCACGCTTCGAGGCAAGTAACACTGAAACATGCATGAGAGCATCAGCTGTTCCGGACGACTGTGTGATCACACTCTCCGTAGCCGATGTGAGTAAGACCTTTAAACAGGTCAACATCCACAAGACGGATTACCAAGACGTGTACTCCGAGCATGCGCTGACCAACTGGCAAGTGTCTTCACTGACATTTTCAACCTCTCCCTGTCTGAGTCTGTAATACCAACATGTTTCAAGCAGACCACCATAGTCCCTGTGCCCAATAACACTAAGGTAACATGCCTAAATGACTACCGACCCGTAGCACTCATTTCTGTAGCCATGAAGTGCTTTGAAAGGCAGGTTATGGCTCACATCAACACCATAATCCCAGAAACCATAGACCCACTCCAATTTGCATACCACCCCAACAGATCCACAGATGATGCAATCTCCATTGCGCTCCACACTGCCCTTTCACACCTGGACAAAAGGAACACCTATGTGAGAATGCAATTCATTGACTACAGCTCAGCGTTCAACACGACAGTGCCTTCAAAGTTCATCACTAAGCTAAGGACCCTGGACTAAACACCCCCCTCTGCAACTGGATCCTGGACTTCCTGACGGGCCGCCCCCAGGTGGTAAGCGTAGGTAACAACATATCCACCACGCTGATCCTCAACATGGGGGCCCCTCAGGGGTGCATGCTCAGTCCCCTCCTGTACTCCCTGTTCACTCATGACTGCATGGCCAGGCACGACTCCAACACCATCATTAAGTTTGCCGATGACACAACAGTGGTGGCCTGATCACCGACAACGACAAAACAGCCTATAGGGAGGAGATCAGAGACCTGGCCGTGTGGTGACAGGACAACAACCTCTCTCTCTCAACGTGATCAAGACAAAGGAGATGATTGTGGACTACAGGAAAAAGAAGAGGACCGAGCACGCCCCCATTCTCACAGACAGGGCTGTAGTGGAGCAGGTTGAGACCTTCAAGTTCCTTGGTGTCCACATCACCAACAAACTAACATGGTCCAAGCACACCAAAACAGACGTGAAGAGGGCACGACAAAACCTAATCCCCATAAGGAGACTGAAAAGATTTGGCATGGGTCCTCAGATCCTCAAAAGGTTTTACAGCTGCACCACCGAGAGCATCCTGACTGGTTGTATCACTGCCTGTTATGGCAACTGCTCGGCCTCCGACCGCAAGGCACTACAGAGGGTAGTGCGTACGGCCCAGTACATCACTCGGGCCAAGCTTCCTGCCATCCAGGACCTCTATACCAGGCGGTGTCAGAGGAAGGCCCTAACAATTGTCAAAGACTCCAGCCACCCAAAACATAGACTGCTACCACACGTCAAGCGGTACCGGAGTGCCAAGTGTAGGTCCAAGAGGCTTCTAAACAGCTTCTACCCCCAAGCCATAAGACTCCTGAACATCTAATGAAATGGCTACTCAGAATATTTGCGTTGCCCCCCCCCCCCCCCCCCCCCCCCTCTTTTACGCTGCTGCTACTCTCTGTTTATTATCTATGCATAGTCACTTTAATAACTCTACCTACATGTACATATTACCTCAATTGCCTCGACTAATCGGTGCCCCCGCACATTGACTCGGTACCCCCTGCATATAGCCTCGCTATTGTTATTCTTACTGCTTCTCTTTAATTATTTGTTACTTTTATTTCGTATTATTTTATATATATATATACAACAAGTGTTTGATACACTGCCGATTTTGCAGGTTTTCCTACTTACAAAGCATGTAGAGGTCTGTAATTTTTTATCATAGGTACACTTCAACTGTGAGAGACGGAATCTAAAACAAAAATCCAGAAAATCACATTGTATGATTTTTAAGTAATTCATTTGCATTTTATTGCATGACATAAGTATTTGATCACCTACCAACCAGTAAGAATTCCGGCTCTCAAAGACCTGTTAGTTTTTCTTTAAGAAGCCCTCCTGTTCTCCACTCATTACCTGTATTAACTGCACTGTTTGAACTCGTTACCTGTATAAAAGACACCTGTCCACACACTCAATCAAACAGACTCCAACCTCTCCACAATGGCCAAGACCAGAGAGCTGTGTAAGGACATCAGGGATAAAATTGTAGACCTGCACAAGGCTGGGATGGGCTACAGGACAATAGGCAAGCAGCTTGGTGAGCAGGCAACAACTGTTGGCGCAATTATTAGAAAATGGAAGAAGTTCATGATGACGGTGAATCACCCTCGGTCTGGGGCTCCAGACCTGAACCCAATAGAAAATCTTTGGAGGTAGCTGAAAGTCCGTATTGCCTAGCGACAGCCCCGAAACCTGAAGGATCTGGAGAAGGTCTGTATGGAGGAGTGGGCCAAAATCCCTGCTGCAGTGTGTGCAAACCTGGTCAAGACCCACAGGAAACGTATGATCTCTGTAATTGCAAACAAAGGTTTCTGTACCAAATATTAAGTTCTGCTTTTCTGATGTATCAAATAATTATGTCATGCAATAAAATGCAAATTAATTACTTAAAAATCATACAATGTGATTTTCTGGATTTTTGTTTTAGATTCCGTCTCTCACAGTTGAAGTGTACCTATGATAAAAATTACAGACCTCTACATGCTTTGTAAGTAGGAAAACCTGCAAAATTGGCAGTGTATCAAATACTTGTTCTCCCCACTGTATATATATATATATATTTTTTACTGCATTGTTGATTAAGGGCTTGTAAGTAAGCATTTCACTGTAAGTATTCGGCGCATGTGAGAAATAAAATTGGATTTGATTTGAAATAAGGAATGAAAAATGACAGTCCATCATTACTTTAAGACATGAAGGTCAGTCAGGAACATTTCAAGAACTTTGAATGTTTCTTCAAGTGCAGTCGCAAAAACCATCAAGCGCTATAATGAAACTGGCTCTCATGAGGACCGCCACAGGAAAGGAAGACCCAGAGTTACCTCTGCTGCAGAGGATAAGTTCATTAGAGTTACAAGCCTCATGAATTGTAGCCCAAATAAATGCTTCACAGAGTTCAAGTAACAGACACATCTCAACATCAACTGTTCAGAGGAGACTGCGTGAATCAGGCCTTCATGGTCGAATTGCTGAAAAGAAATCACTACTAAAGGACACCAATAAGAAGAGGAGACTTGCTTGGGCCAAGAAACACGAGCAATGGACATTAGACCTGTGGAAATCTGTCTTTTGGTCTGATGAGTCCAAATTTGAGATTGTTGGTTCTAACCGCCATGTCTTTGTGAGACGCAGAGTAGGTGAACGGATGATCTCCGCATGTGTAGTTCCCACCGTGAAGCATGGAGGAGGAGGTGTGATGGTGTGGTTGTGCTTTGCTGGTGAAACTGACAGTGATTTATTTAGAATTCAAGGCACACTTAACCAGCTTGCCTACCACAGCATTCTGCAGCGATATGCCATCCCATCTGGTTTGCGCTTAGTCCCACTATCATTTTGTTTTTCAACTGGACAATGTACCAAAACACATCTCCAGGCTGTGTAAGGGCTATTTGACCAAGAAGGAGAGTGATGGAGTGCTGCATCAGATGACCTGGCCTCCACAATCACCCGACCTCAACCCAATTGAGATGGTTTGGGATGAGTTGGACCGCGGAGTGAAGGAAAAGCAGCCAACAAGTGCTCAGCATATGTGGGAACTCCTTCAAGATGTTGGAAAATCATTCCAGGTGAAGCTGGTTGAGAGAATGCCAAGAGTGTGCAAAGCTGTCATCAAGGCAAAGGTTGGTTACTTTGAAGAATCTCAAATATAAAATATATTTTGATTTGTTTAACACTTTTTTTGGTTACTACATGATTCCATATGTGTTATTTCATAGTTTGATGTCTTCACTATTATTCTACAATGTAGAAAATAGTAAACATAAGAAAAACCCTTGAATGAGTAGGTGTCCAAACTTTTGACTTGTACTGTATATACTGTATATATTAATGCTATATTGATTCAGCTTAGTTCAACTGTTGTACCCCATCTGAAACCCAAAAGTTAAACTAGTTTTACTCTAATGTTTGTAAATGTAAAAATAAAAAAACTGTATAGCCTCAAGATCTGCAAAACTATGATTTTGATATCTTGGATGTTCAGTCCTTGCGTCAATAGCTCTATGAATTTAAGAGTGGTTACATTTCTCCAAGACCATCCCTCAGCTTTATACTAAAACAGAGGCTTTGTTATCGTTTCAACTTCGGATTGCCCCTTTTAACTCTGATATCTGCTCTCTACAGGACAGGATGATCTCTATGACTCTGGATAAGGACCACGAGGTGGCAGTACAGACCCTGAGACTACTCACACTCATCTCCCAGTAAGTCCCTGTCTCTCTTTTACACACACACACACACACACACACACACACACACACACACACACACACACACACACTCTATCCAGAGACATATACAGTATTTATTGGGTTTGGTCATTGCTGTTTCTGTCTGAACATTCAGAGAGCGCCCAGAATCTCCTCTGGTGTTAGGTGATAATTGACGCTTTTGGGTTGCGCTGTTTATTTCTAAACACTTTCAAAACCTCAGAAAATGTCTAGTGAAAGTGAATATGAAATTTGTTGACACCCCAACACAGAGACTTGGATACACATTACCACGAATGCCACTGAAAAAATGACTGTTCAATTCGCTGCTTGTTTGCACTGGGTCATTTCATAGGGAATTGTCGGAGGCGCTCTCACGTTGTTACATCACCAACAGTTTGAGGATAAAAGGGCTAATATGACGTCTGTTCTAAAATGCTTTATCAACCTCCCCCTTTCTTCTCTTTTCCTGACCCTATCTCTCTTTGGCCATCCCCTTTTCTTTCTCTATCCACCATCCCCTCCCTCCCCTACCTCTCAGGTCAGCTGATGATGTTATTAATCCTGAGGACTATAAGCAGCTGTTCCAGTTGGTGTACTCCTCACATCGCCCCCTGGCTGCCACCGCAGGAGAGCTGCTCTACACAAGGTCAGTGCAGTGGGCTGGCCATAGACCATATACATTAGCTGGGGTGTCTATAATAGTGAGAGTGAGTGAATGAGGGCCAGAGTCACTGGTGACATTCTCATCTCTGCTGTCAGGCTGCTCAGCTCCCAAACTCAGACACCTGACCTCAGAGAGGGGGTGAGTGAGCAGGACACACACACACAGCTGACGATAGCCAGAGTGAGGGCTCTGCTGCACTTCTACCAGGACAGTGAGGTAAGAGAAAGTGCCCGTGTGTTGGTATATACTCCGTTTTTACATCAGCACAGGTGGACAGTGAATGTGTGTATTCTCTTTCTAGCTCCATCAGCATGTAGTATACCTGGTGGACAGTCTGTGGGACTGTGCTGGTGCCATGCTGAAAGACTGGTCGTCTCTTACCTCTTTACTGCTACAGGACCCCTCCGCTCAGGATGAAGGTCAGTGTGTACGTGTGTGTGTGTGTGTCAGGGTTTCCATTAGCCGGTAATTGCCGGCTTTTGGCCCAAAAAAATTATAATGAAAAGCCGATAAATGAAATTGTAGTTGGTCATTTGTCCTGGAGAAAATGAATCCCAGATTAGGCTGCCTACCATTTACCACCATTCTCTCACTCCTTGTGCACTGCCTGACATGCCTGTGCCTGCTGCTGAGCCTTGGCCTAGGCTACTGTTGATTGTGAAGATGGAGGTATTTTTTTTTTGAAGTAAAACAAAAGTTAGAGGAAAAAGAGTATGCCCAATGACAGTACAGTATGGTTTAGAAATTCTGTGGTATGACTATAGTGAAAAGCCTACAAGGGGAATGTCTTCCGTGTGGACAATTTTAATATTGTAGTGGACAAAGATGAGAAGAATGTTGGCGCGGCCAAATGCAACTACTGTGTGCAACTCGCTATTTAGGTAGGATGTAATTTCGGAACTTTTATTTATTTTGTATTTATATATATTTGTTTTATTATTATTATTGTATATCATTGTTATTATTGTATGCATTATTCATCTAATGTGTTTTTCATTCTATTGAGACATTTTCGTTGCTGTTTTTTTAAAATTGCGTGCTCCGTATATAGTTTAAGATAGGTTATAAGTAGGCCTGTTGTATTATTATTAGCCTATTGTTGTCATTTGTTGGGTACGGTAGGCACTAGCCTTTGTTGGTAATTGCTGCAATATAGCCTGTTCAAAACTTTTAAGCTTTAAACCAGTTCGTAAGTGTTTTGTTTCATTTTGTTGAGTCATTTTCTTTGGCCAAATTAAGTTTAAACTGTAATGTTGTTTGCCGCAATATAATAGCCTGCTCGTATTTTCCATATAAACAATAGCTTGGCTTGACTTTTGAAATTACCGTAATACAGTTTTGAAACTTTTATGAAGGTTTGATGTGGCTATTCGCCTATTATACTGCAGGACTATATGAAGGCAGTGCGCATCGGCGCTCCAACTGACTCTGACAGTTGAACTTGAGGTGAGGAAGAATGTTTTAGGCCTACCAGAGTTACTCCTATAATCTAACAATATAATGCTTATCTTTATAAAAAATATTTGGATCGTATTCTGTACGCCGGCCTATATCTACAGTGGGGAGAACAAGTGTTTGATACACTGCCGATTTTGCAGGTTTTCCTACTTACAAAGCATGTAGAGGTCTGTAATTTTTATCATAGGTACACTTCAACTGTGAGAGACGGAATCTAAAACAAAAATCCAGAAAATCACATTGTATGATTTTTAAGTAATTAATTTGCATTTTATTGCATGACATAAGTATTTGATCACCTACCAACCAGTAAGAATTCCGGCTCTCACAGACCTGTTAGTTTTTCTTTAAGAAGCCCTCCTGTTCTCCACTCATTACCTGTATTAACTGCACCTGTTTGAACTCGTTACCTGTATAAAAGACACCTGTCCACACACTCAATCAAACAGACTCCAACCTCTCCACAATGGCCAAGACCATAGAGCTGTGTAAGGACATCAGGGATACAATTGTAGACCTGCACAAGGCTGGGATGGGCTACAGGACAATAGGCAAGCAGCTTGGTGAGAAGGCAACAACTGTTGGCGCAATTATTAGAAAATGTTCAAGATGACGGTCAATCACCCTCGGTCTGGGGCTCCATGCAAGATCTCACCTCGTGGGGCATCAATGATCATGAGGAAGGTGAGGGATCAGCCCAAAACTACACGGCAGGACCTGGTCAATGACCTGAAGAGAGCTGGGACCACAGTCTCAAAGAAAACCATTAGTAACACACTACGCCGTCATGGATTAAAATCCTGCAGCGCACGCAAGGTCCCCCTGCTCAAGCCAGCGCATGTCCAGGCCCGTCTGAAGTTTGCCAATGACCATCTGGATGATCCAGAGGAGGAATGGGAGAAGGTCATGTGGTCTGATGAGACAAAAATAGAGCTTTTTGGTCTAAACTCCACTCGCCGTGTTTGGAGGAAGAAGAAGGATGAGTACAATCCCAAGAACACCATCCCAACCGTGAAGCATGGAGGTGGAAACATCATTCTTTGGGGATGCTTTTCTGCAAAGGGGACAGGACGACTGCACCGTATTGAGGGGAGGATGGATGGGGCCATGTATCGCGAGATCTTGGCCAACAACCTCCTTCCCTCAGTAAGAGCATTGAAGATGGGTCGTGGCTGGGTCTTCCAGCATGACAACGACCTGAAAAACACATCCAGGGCAACTAAGGAGTGGCTCCGTAAGAAGCAGCTCAAGGTCCTGGAATGGCCTAGCCAGTCTCCAGACCTGAACCCAATAGAACATCTTTGGAGGGAGCAGAAAGTCTGTATTGCCCAGCAACAGTCCCGAAACCTGAAGGATCTGGAGAAGGTCTGTATGGAGGAGTAGGCCAAAATCCCTGCTGCAGTGTGTGCAAACCTGGTCAAGACCTACAGGAAACATATGATCTCTGTAATTGCAAACAAAGGTTTCTGTACCAAATATTAAGTTCTGCTTTTCTGATGTATCAAATACTTATGTAATGCAATAAAATGCAAATTAATTACTTAAAAATCATACAATGTGATTTTTGTTTTAGATTCCGTCTCTCACAGTTGAAGTGTACCTATGATAAAAATTACAGACCTCTACATGCTTTGTAAGTAGGAAAACCTGCAGTGTATCAAACACTTGTTCTCCCCACTGTATATAGTAGACGCAGTAGCCCATCTGACAAGGGTAAATAAATGTGTGTCGTGGTCGTAGCATGCCGCCAGCAAATCTTTCTGGGGCTAGGCCTAAGCTTATCTTCCTTTTTATATTATTATTTTTTAAATATTAATATCATACAGTTGATGCCTAAGCCTATAGGCCTATGCATGCAATGCCCTGATGCCTTTAGTGCTCACATCTCTGACAGTTGAATCGTGAGGTGGACAATTATTGTTTTAGGAAAGTAAAACCAATAAAACAACAGGCTATAACGTTTTGCATATGCTACACATCGAAACAAGGAATAGTGTTTTTGTCATAGGCTGTTCTTAAGGACACGTAAATGTGGCTCATTTGGCCAATACCCCTCATTTATTGATTGAGTTGGTGGACGCCCTAATGGGTTAAGCACCCAATGCAAATGTTTTCAAATGTCCTGTAAATTAAAATATTTCTGGTCACGTTGTCCAGCGACAAATTTACCTAACTGAAACCCTGATGTGTGTCACATTTCTGCCATTTGGGATATGTAGCATAAGAAGTATTTAAACAGTGGTTCTACTTATGTCAACTACCCTCATATGTAAGTGTCAGCTATATACAGTGCCTAGTGAAAGTCTTCACACCCCTGCAGTCTTGTACATTATGCAACCTTACATTTTTGGCCTAGTGTTATCCATGAGCAGCTTATATTCTCTTCCACAGCTCAGTTAGGAAATACAGTCAGATCTTTGCAGTGTCTGGATGATATAACACACCATACACAGCTTAATTGCCATACTCAAAGGGATATTCAATGTGTTGCAATTATGTCATAACCTTCCCCTGATCTGTTCCTGTCTACAAATGCCTCCTTTACATGTTTAAAAGCTCCTGGTTGGATCTTTGTTTGAAATTGACTATACAACTGAGGGACCATACAGAAAAAGGGAAGTTATTCTTGAACCACTACTTTTGCACACATATAGACCCCATTCAACTAACTTTATATAAATATTCAGTATGGTTTTTTGATGCAAATAGGCTATTTGCTCCTGAACTTATTTAGATGTACCACAGCAAGGGGTGTGAAGACCTACGCAATCAAGACAATTCATTTTATAAATGTTCATAATTTTTCTTTGTGGATATTTTTTCCCACTGCTATTTAACTATTGCTATTTAAATTGCAATTTAACTGCTGTACTATTTAGAATACAGTAACATAAATAAATCAGGCTGTAAGAATGATGACAAGAACAAAAAAAACAAGTAAATATAAGGACAACATTATTAGGCAGCAAGTAATCTCGGAATACACAACCAAATCTGGCATGTTCTGGGTGCTGTGGTTTTCAAATCTGAACTGACGGACTCAATCAGTCAACACACTCTCAAAGCCTCAGCCACACTCCTTCCAAAAAGTCCACCTGTGTTTACAATCTGGGCTGCACACAATGCACTAAATGACAACATGAAAGTGTTCAGTCCAAAGAATTTCACGCTTGCAACACAAAACAATGTGCAATGCCACTCAAGTATTCCACTGTGTTGGCACTCTGGTAGTTCATCACTCTGCGCTTTAGCTTCTCCTGCAGCTTCCGGTCCTGCAGGCTTCCGCTGCCTCTGCATCTCTTGGTTGGTGGTGGTTTCTTGTCTCCTGCCAGCTCTTCCAGTTGAAGTTGTTCACTCTGTCTGTTGCTTGCACAATGCTACCATGAACATCCAAATGAGGGTTTCTGTGGATTTAAGAACCCCTTCAAATGTATGATGACATCTCTTCACGACTCTGTTTATCATGGCATTGTTCGACTGGACAGCATTGCAGCAATTCCACTCTTCTGAAAACATAATATAGAAATATGTTAGACAATCTCATTATTTTATCAATCTCATAATCGTAATTTCCATTTGTATTTCTGTTATAATAACTGTCAGACATACCTATGGCACATTTTGCTGGTCTTCGATTAGTTCTTGTGAGGCGGCCGATCAGTGTGTCCTCAAAGTAGTTAGGACAGGAGTCAGGCTCTGGTCCTTGAAGAAGACGGTGTCCTGAAGTTTCTCGTAGCATTGCGCCATGTCAGCTGGAGGGACGAACACCAGAGCGGGGAGCATCTTCAGGTTGTGAGCGAACTCTGGGTCAGTGCTGTATTGTGATGTCACCTCAGTGCACCACTAAATGTTCCTCCAGAAGGCCTGGTTCAGGTGGAAGAAGCTTACTCGGTGGTGGCTCTCAGGGAAACACCGCGCTAAAGGCCTTCGCCGCTGCTGGCTCCAGATCTGTCATGATTGTCTCAAATTTCATCTCGGGCCTCAAATTTCTCAGCACCTGGAACCAACGTTCATATGTTGCCTAACAGATAAAACAAATAGTTTATTACATGTGCTAATACATGTTCAACTAGACAACTGGAACACATACATGTACAGTACCTGTCAAAAGTTTGGACACACCTACTCAAGGGTTTTTCTTTTTACTATTTTCTACATTGTAGAATAATAGTGAAGACATCAAAACTATGAAATAACACATGGAATCATGTAGTAACCAAAAAAGTGTTAAACAAATCAAAATATGTTTTATATTTGAGATTCTTCAAAGTAGCCACTCTTTACCTTGATGACAGCTTTGCACACTCTTGGCATTCTCTCAACCAGCTTCACCTGGAATGATTTTCCAACAGTCTTGAAGGAGTTCCCACATATGCTGAGCACTTGTTGGCTGCTTTTCCTTCACTCTGCGGTCCAACTCATCCCAAACCATCTCAAATGGGTTGAGGTCGGGTGATTGTGGAGGCCAGGTCATCTGATGCAGCACTCCATCACTCTCCTTCTTGGTCATATAGCCCTTACACAGCCTGGAGGTGTGTTTGGGGTCGTTGTCCTGTTGAAAAACAAATGATAGTCCCAATAAGCGCAAAACAGATGGGATGGCGTATCGCTGCAGAATGCTGTGGTAGCCATGCTGGTTAAGTGTGCCTTGAATTATAAATAAATCACAGACAGTGTCACCAGCAAAGCACCCCCACACCATCACATCTCCTCCTCCATACTTCACAGTGGGAACCACACATGCGGAGATCATCCGTTTACCTACTCTGCATTTCACAAAGAAATGGCAGTTGGAACCAAAAATCTCCAATTTGGACTCATCCGACCAAAGGACAGATTTCCACCGGTCTAATGTCCATTGCTCGTGTTTCTTGGCCCAAGTAAGTCTCTTCTTCTTATTGGTGTCCTTTAGTAGTGGTTTCTTTGCAGCAATTTGACCATGAAGGCCTGATTCATGCAGTCTCCTCTGAACAGTTGATGTTGAGATGTGTCTGTTACTTGAACACTGTTAAGCATTTATTTGAGGTGCAGTTATTCTAATGAACTTATCCTCAGCAGCAGAGGTAACTCTTTCCTGTGGCGGCCTCATGAGAGCCAGTTTCATCATAGCGCATGATGATTTTTGCAACTGCACATGAAGAAACTTCCCGGATTGACTGACCTTCATTTCTTAAAGGAATGATGGACTGTCATTTCTCTTTGCTTATTTGAGCTGGACTTGGTCTTTTACCAAATAGGGCTATCTTCTGAATACCACCCCTACCTTGTCACAACACAACTGATTGGCTCAAACACATTTAGAATGAAAGAAATTCCACAAATGAAAAAGGCACACCTGTTAATTAAAATACATTCCAGGTGAAGCTGGTTGAGATAATGCCACGAGTGTGCAAACTTTTCATCAACGCAAAGGGTGGCTACTTTGAAGAATCTCAAATAACAAATATTTTGATTTAACACTTTTTTTTGGTTACATGATCCCATATGTGTTATTTTGATGTCTTCACTATTATTCTAAAATGTAGAAAGTAGTAAAAATAAAGAAAAACCCTTGAATGAGGAGGTGTGTCCAAACTTTTGACTGGTACTGTATATGTCGCCTAAATACAAACAGGATTATTATTTTGGCCTGTGCGGTTTTCTTTTTGACAAATAAAAACCCATCATAACATTCAAATCAATAGAACATAATCATGTACTTAAGCAAAATGAAGGCAGTTGGAATCAGGTTAGATTCCCGCAGTGCATGAATAGTGTATGGCTGCTGGAACAGCGGTGGGGCTGTCTTGAATGCACCGTCTGCAAACCAAGACTTGGACTCGCATAAGCAAGCCAAGTTGCCTGTAGTAGTAAAGGTGAGGATCCTATTATGTCCTGGTCCACTGTCGTGCTGAAGGAACAGCTCTCCCCCCACTCTCTCACAGTAGCTCTTTGGGATGACAAGGTCAGAGAGGAGCGTAGGTTTAACCATAGGTGTCTGGTGCTTTTTCCAGTCCCTCTCTATGATCTTTTCGTGGAAATTCTACACATGGGACACTCAAAATGAATCATTCTTTATTATCAGCAAGCTGGAGAGGTCACAGTCAAACTTGGATGCATAAAGTACCGGTCCGAAGTGAGCTTCGTCGGGGCAGTCCCGTTAGATCTCTTATACTGCTTACACAGACAAGTTATATTTGTATGATTTAGCTTATTCATTATTCATAATTAATTCATCATCAACGTTTTGGTTCATGCATGTGCCTGACCAATACCTCACGAGGGTTCATCTCTCCAAGCTGAGACCTTGAAACTGAGATATCCCTTTCGTTCTCAAAACAATGTTCTGGGCGTACTGCCAAATTGCAGATACTGATAGTGAGGATTCCTCCCATGCACGATTAATCAGTCACTTGCATGAACCCAGTCGAATTGGTTATTAGAAAAGCACAAACATAACATTTTCCATCACAATCTTCTCCATGTTTTTAACAGAAGGTAACTGTTCTTTGACATCTGATTGAATGGACAACACATTGCAGACCAAAAGGTGCTTTGGACACTCCTGCATTTTAAGGCTTTTCTCCTTTAGGTCATTGAGTACCTGCCTGGCCTGAAGCCGCGCTGCGTTTGGGACATGGTTGTGCTCTCCGGACACTCTCTTGATCATTCCATCAGAAAGTGTGATGTGACCTCTGCATTTCTGTGAGTCATAAGCAGTGCATTTCCAAAAGGATAATTTGCTGTCTTCCTTCCGTTCCTTTCTGTATGTGTATCCATCATGTAGCAGGAGCAGGCCTCCATGTACAGAAGGGATGTAGCTGGGTTCCATTGTAGGCTACAGGAGCTCCTCTAGGGAAATACAAAACAGGGTTAACAAAGGAAAGAGCCTACGGAAAGAAAATAAGTTATTTTAAAGCCATAAAAAGTCCAGTTGAGTGTCACAGGTGTAGAGAGGAGTAGGCAGGAGGCAGTCGCAGGTTTAGAACTATTGAATTTATTTAAGCACCATAGATCAAAGCGTGACGAAACCCAAACGCTGTTGTGCTCAAAATTTATCTTTATAAACAAAAGGCACAGGGCGAACCCAACCTGCAAAATATAAAGTACTCAGGAAATAGTAGGAGAGATTCCTCTCAGGAAAACAAGTAACATTTACAATAACCGACAAAGAAAAATGGCAGAGGGAGTGTATATATATACAGTGATAGTGGGGATTGGAACCAGGTGTGTGTAATAATGATGAGACAATTCCGGGGTTGATGAGTGAAGGGCGATTGCCAGCAGTAGGTTCGGCAGCAGCTAGAAGGCCGGCGACGCCGAACGCCTGAGCTGGACAGGCTAATGTGACATTGAGACTGCATACTGATCACAAGTACTTTGTTTGCTACAGCGTTTCACATTGGGAAGGTTTTTGAAAGAATGTTGGAGATTTTTTTTTTAACCAGTTATAGCCTATAGCTAATGTAGTTACAGTACAACTTTTGTTGTCTAGTCTAGGGCTGTGACGGTAATTAAATAATGTAATGTAATAATGTGTTGCTCAGTTGGTAGAGCATGGCGCTTGCAATGCTAGGGTTGTGGGTTCGATTCCCACAGGGGGGCAGTATGAAAAAATGTATGTATGCACTCACTAACTGTAAGTCGCTCTGGATAAGAGCGTCTGCTAAATGACTAAAATGTAAAAATGTAACTGACGGTTATGGATGAAGACGTCATCAAAATAAAATAACCGTCAAAACTGTTTAAATAGGCCTACATTCATTTTAGGATGTCAATTATTATTATTATTTTGTACTTTCTTTTCATGTAGATAAACTTTATCTAATAGCGGGAGTGTATACTACTGATTATAAGCTATTGTTTTGCTAACTTATTCTGTCTATTAAACTTTCTACATCTTCTTCCAACTGACCTTTGATGCTCAAGCAGCTAATCCGCTAGATGCGCGTGTAGAGCGCTATAGGCTATGGCACTTCAGTAAAAAAAATAGTTTGTATGGACTTCCTTTTATACAATAAACGTTTTCATTGCTTGCTAGTAAATAAATAGATATGTCTGACTCATTAGTTATTCAACAGTAGTCGACAAGGTTGTTCTGGCTTTGTGGCCTATAATGCGCTAATGTTGTTTCAAATGGACAATGCGCCAATCCTTTCCAAACTGGCATGGTATTATTTGATACAGAATATTTTCTTAATTGATAGACTAGTCAACGCTGATCAGGCCGATATCCCGCCCTAGGCGAGACCCAGAAAATTATAATTGCCACCCTCCTATCCCCGCAAAGTAGAATAGTAGCCTTGGCTATATAGTGTAGGCCCGCAATGCACTTTTATGAATGCCGATGTGGTAGCCTACCGTTTGTACAACAGGCAATTTACAGTTAATTCCTGTCATTTGGTTACATACATTTCTGTTAACGCATTTGTTAGTTACAGTAATTTACCGTTCTCATTCTAGGAGTGGAAACGTTGTTTGCAGAATTCACAACCTGCTACATGGCTGAGCACGCGTAGAAGTACTTGGCCTGCTTCTCGCAAATGTAAAATGTAGGAAAGTGCCCAGCTGGGCTTCTCAGTGAAAATAAATATTCACCTCACACAGTTAGTAAGTCAACAAAGTCCTATTATTATTATTATTATTATTATTATTATTATTTTGTTTTTACATCCTTTCAAATCTCACAGTATTTGAAAAATCTTCCCAACACTCTCCCCCTTAATTGCTGATAAATAGACTATGGATATGTTGTGTGTATTTGTTTCTATTTGAATGATTGTCAATTTCATCTCCATACTATAGCACAGCTGTCCCCTTCATACTTTCCTTGTCACATCATTATCTTATAGCCTACTTTCGGCAAGCCTAAGGTAGGCCTAGGTTTTTTAAATATAAGTTTTAAGGAAAATATAAATACACTATATATACAAAAGTATGTGGACACCCCTTCAAATTAGTGGATTTGACTATTTCACCCACACCTGTTGCTGACAGGTGTATAACATCGAGCACACAGCCATGCAATCTCCATAGACAAACATTG